CCCGTGAACCGTCGGGCCTCCTAAGGGCCGGTTCTTAGCGGGCCGGTCCGGACCTTGGCCCCGAACCTAGTCACGTCTAGGCAAGGCACGCTGACATAGCTGATCGAAAAATTGACATGGCACTCAGCATTTTAATATCAGTGCCACGTCATCATACACATCAATTTAATAAAAAGTAAAAATTTTTTTCCCAATATGTTTTATAAGATAGATTTATCACGAAGTTTTTTCCAAAAGAAAAAAGAAGTATTCAAACATTTTTTTTTTTGGTACAATAAAGGAGGCCAAAGAGCCTAAGCTAGGACCCGTCGGGGGTATGAGATCCCCAAATTATCATGATAAAGCCACTCGCCCAGCCCTGTAGGGAGACTTGAAACACGGTGCAAGCCAACCGGATATGAGCCCGCTAAGCTGGCCAGGTGGTCAGCTGAGAAGTTCGCCTCTCTATGGATATGCATAACACGAACATTCCACTCCTTCTGCAATAAGTCCTGGATGGCCTTAATCATAGCATCGTGAATTCCAAAGGACCCATCCACATTCATCACCATCCGCACGACACATTGGCTATCAATTTCAACAATAACACATCGGTATCCGGAGTCCCAAGCCAACGAGAGCCCCTGAAACAGGCCCCAAAGCTCCGCACCCGTGATGGTACAAGCACCAATATTCATAAGAAAGCCCGATAGCCAACACCCCGCTTCATCCCGAATTAGCCCTCCCGCACTACTTAGGCCAGTACAACTATCAAAGGCCCCGTCGGTATTTAATTTCACCCACCCCGAGTCCAGGGGGTTCCACCGTATTAGCCGAGTGGTATAGGTGGCTATTCTAACGCTGCGATAGTCCTCCTCAGCGCGGACATAGTTGTTCGTCATGCGCACCACCTTCGAGAAACGGGCCTCACAGCTAATCGTAGAGTGTTTAAACACCCGCCCATTCCTCCAAGCCCACAATTTCCAAACCATGAAAGAGAACAGAGTACTCCAATTTGCAGTTGTTGCTCGCCGCTGCAACAAACAATTTGACTGGAGCTAGACGGTCAAGGGCTGGTGAAAGAACTCTCCAGCAGGGTCAGCCCGGAAGCACAGCCGCCAGACCTCCTTCGCCGCTGGGCAGTCGCGTAATACATGGAGGGTCGACTCGATTTCGCCGCAATGGTCGCAAGTCCCGAATTCTGAAATATGACGCCTCATTCTTTCCGCGTTCGTTAGTAATCGGTCGTTGGCAGCTAGCCAGAGGAACATACGAACTCTCTGTGGGGCCGAGACTCTCCAAATAATTTTCCACAACGGACGATCATGGTGGCGCGACTGTGGAGATACAACTCGATAAGCAGACCTCGTGGTAAAGTTCCCATCCTCCGAGAATCCCCATATAATGTGGTCATCTCCAGCTATCTCTTTCGGTGGGAGCGTACCCGCTATGCGAAGGACCAAAGCCGACGGCAAAACACCATGAAAGCTAAGCCAATCCCAATTCCCGTTAGCATCCACATGCTCAGCTACTTTATAAAATAAATTTCCGATCTGGGCTTGGTTATGGACATATCTAATCAAGGGCCCAACCGACCCAAGCCAAGGGTCAAGCCAGAACTGGATTCGCTCGCCATTCCCTTGGACCCATCGAACCCCGCCAGCTATGTCGGGCCATATCGTTTGGATTGCACGTATTAGGGCCGAACCTCTTCGCCAGGGAAAGACATTGTATTATCCATAAGATTAAGCGCATATTTCGCTTTCAACACGCGCACCCACAGAGACTCAGGACGTGTCAATAATACCCATCCCATTTTCATTAACAATGCACGATTCATACGGCCAAGATCCTTGATCCCCAGGCCCCCGTCCTCTTTCGATTTGCAAAGATTGTCCTAGGCAATCAAATGCACCTTCCGTTGGTCGTTAGTTCCACCCCACACAAAAGCACGACTTCTACGAGCAATCCCATCAGTCACAACGCCCGGGAGCATCGAGGTCTGCATCATATAGTAAGGTAAAGTGCTAAGAACCGACTGCGTGAGGGTCACTCGGCCCGCCATCGATAGAGACTTCATCAACCCGCTAGGCGCGCTTCCGTTCGCTCGAGAATGTGACAGTATGTCTTCTTTGTAACAAGTCCGTTGAGCAGCGAAACGCCCAAATATTCCCCAGATTGGTCGTAAGCTTGAAGCTGAGGATCGAGGCCAAGCGAGCTTGTTCAAATAGTGCAACGTTTTTAGAGAAGAAGACTTGGGTCTTCTCGGCACTAATATTGAGGCCTGATCGGGAGTAGAAGCTGTCCAGCACTCGCATTAGGACAGAGGCCTGGTCATCTGAGGCCTCCAAGAAGAGGAGGAGGTTATCAGCAAACATCAAGAAGGGGACGCTTACCGCATCTCGGCCCCAGCCAATAGATATCGGGCGCCAGTGCCGTTTCTCGATTGAGTCACCTATCAACTGTGCAAGACACTCCATACAGAGAACAAAGAGATAAGGAGACATGGGGTCCCCCTGCCGCACACCTCTCGTGGGTCAAAAATTCCTCCCCAATCGTCCCATCCCACAGGACATTCATCGAGGCGGAGCTAACACACGCCGTAATTGATGTGACAAAATTGGCAGAAAATCCAGCGAGGCAGATGGTTTCTTCAATGAAATCCCAGCGAATAGGCCTTTTCCAAGTCCACCTTGATCACCATATGACTCGTCGCTCCCCGCTTGTACCGCATAGAATGGACAAGTTCTTGGGCGATGACGATGTTGTTCGTGATATGCCTCCCCGGGACAAAGCTTGCTTGGGCCGGGTGAATCAAATCAGGTAGCGTCCCCTTCATACGGTTAACCAAAACTTTGGTGAAAAGTTTGTAGATAACGTTTAGTAAGCTGATTGGACGAAATTGTTTGATTGTAGTCGCGTTCTCAACCTTGGGTATGAGTACCAGCAGCGTACGGTTGGTCTTTTCCAGGACAGCACCACTCTGCCACATGGTTCGAATAAATGCACTCATCGTGGAGCCGACAACTCCCCAATGTTTCTGAAAAAATAGGGCATGTAGCCCGTCCAAGCCCGGTGCTTTCAGTGGGCCCATCTGGTTTAGTGCACATAAAATCTCTTCATCCAATATCTCGCTATCCATGCTACTAAGTGCTGTAGCATCACCCTCCGGAAAGCATGCTGGGAGAGGTGTGGGCTCTACAGGCTTCGGGCTCTCCGTGTAGATGCCTTTGAAGAAATCAGTTGCTAAGCGACAGAGGGCGGTCGGCTCTGTGACTTGTTGACCAACAGCATCCGTCAACTCGATTATTCTATTACGTCGGCGTCTGAGTTTAAGTTGTCTGTGATAAAAGGAGGTGTTTCTATCGCCCAGGTAAGACCATTCTCGGGTTGCCTTTTGTATCATCAGAAGCTCTTCCTGCCTAATAACATCCTCCAGCTCATCTCTGAGTTGCTTTTCGAGGCCTCCCAAGTAATTCCGAGCATAGAATTGGATACATCTCTGAATGCCCCGAATCCGGCTCAGGAGCCGTTTTTTCTGATTAAGGATATTCCCAAAAACATGAGTGTTCCAATCCTTAGCCTTAGCAGTAAAATTATCCGTCGCTTGCTGGAAACAAAGTGAGGGTTGCCAAGACTCTTTAAGCATGTCAGAGAACTCTGGGTGAAGGAGCCAGGCAGATAAAAAACGGAAAGGCTTCGGCCCGTGCGAGGGTCTATGCCTCCCAATCCACACCAAAAGGGGTGAATGGTCCGATTGGATCCTCGGGAGGAGCCGGACCCGACTCATATCAAATCTCTCCACCCACGATACATTAGCAACGAACCTATCAAGCTTTTCTGCCACCCTACCAGCCTGAGTGTCCCGAACCCATGTGACTAGGTGTCCATCTGTTGCCACCTCCTGGAGGCTATAATTGAACAACCAATCCGCAAAGGCCGGGCTAAGGTTACAATGACTAAAGGACCCACCAATCTTCTCGGACCTCCGCAGTAGGCAATTAAAGTCTCCACCAATAAGCCAAAGTTCTGAAGCTCGACTCGCCAGGCCACTGAGGTCCTCCCACAAGCTTCTACGGCCCGGCTCATGGGGGCTAGCGTACACAAAGGTTATAAGACAACCATCTCTGTGCCCATCCGCCCGGACGTGAATCCATTGACAGGAATAAGCCAGCACTTCAAGGCGGACCTCATCGGTCCACAACAACCATATGCCTCCAGAAAAACCCAAGGCTTCAATACGAAAGGAATTCGCAAACTTCCTCTGGCGAACGAAGTTATCAGCTAAAGCGCCGCTCACACGTGGTTCAAATATGGCTACTACATTCGGAAGATATTGCCGACAAAGAGTAGAGAAGGCTCCCCGAAACTCAGGCGACCCCGCACCCTGAACGTTCCATGTAACGATATTCATTATAAATAAGGGCAAAGAAGAGGGCGGTACCCACCCTTAATCTAGGTCCTGGACGTGTGTGTCCGAGATCTCATCCAAGCACATGCGTTTGTCCGAACCGTCGCAACCATCCCCATGCACAAGAGTTTCCTCCGGCCAAGGGTCCTGCATACGCACTAGGTGCTCCTCCTTTGCCAAAGATGATCCATGCGAGGGGCCGGCACCGAAGTTAGCATGCGTATGAATATCCATGATTTGAGTCGTTGTATCCTCGGCCATGATAACTGCCTTGTGTTTAGCCGGATCAAGGCCATTGCCCACGGGAGTTATGCACACTTGTCTTTAAGGACCGCCCAGATCTGTAGGCTCTTCACTTTCTCTTCTGGCTCTGTACGTTGCTATTGCGCGTCCCAGTCCGTTGGGGCTTAGTCTCGTCCTGACCATGACCCACATTGATCTCTTGTTCGCCCTCACTACGCCCATTAACTCCGCCCAGGTTCACTGTTTCGTGGTTTATCGGATTGCGGTTTCTCCCTCGGCCCTTAAACATACGCCAGTCTCGCTCCCCTGTGGCATTCGAGTTCCTATTATTCGCCACATTTTTGTTCCCCTGCTGTACTTCCCCCACGGCTCCGAACTCCAAGACCTGGTTGGTTTGCCCGGACCCTATCTTAGCCAACAAATCAAATCTAGATCCCGACCCTCCGACCGGCCGAAGACCCCTAGTGGTGTGTGATCTATATGTCTCCTTGTCTCGTTTGGAAGTCATCGGACGCGCCCGCTGTGGTACTTGGACCCACGGGCCATAAGCCGACTCGTCTCGGCCGCCCACAGGCCTCGTGCTGTCTTCTGATTCCTTCTCACCCTCGTGCACCTGTCGGGTATATCCATCCTGCTCGTGTGCTGTAGGTCGGTAAAGACAGCTATGACTCGAGTGGCCAGCCCGACCACAGTGAAAACATATGGTTGGTAGGTTCTCATACACCACTCGTTGGGTTTTCCCATTGATATTAAAATTCACACATAGTGGTTTCGTTAAGTCGACCATCACCGCGAGCCTCGCATATTTTCCTAGAGTGAGAGCGGTCGTCTATTGATCAATTTTAACTACTCTGCCTACAATGCGCCTGATCATGCGAAAGATTTTTTTATGGTAGAGGTGGGCCGAAAGTCCAGGCAAGCGGATCCACGCTACTGTAGTCGTCAATTCCTCATTTGTAGCGTCAAACTCAAGGGACCATGGTTGAACGTGCATATAACTATTCCCCACTACGTAAGGCCCACCGGTGAGTACTGTAACTGTGTCATCATGGTGGTTAAGGTGGACGAGGTAAAAGCCATTGTCAAGGTCCATCGTATTACATCCCGCCATAAACGGCCATATTTTGGTTATCCGATTATACAAAGACGCCATGGTGAGCGATTCATCGAACGGCTTCAAGAAGATAACATTCTTCCAATTTTGCTTAAGCTGTTCGAAGAATTGT